ATTTCGTCCAGATGGTATTGCTTATTTATTAATATTAATTGGTGAAGCATTACTCAATAAACCAAAATTATGTGAAAAGAATGGAAATCTACGACAACCAACACAATCCACATTTAACGAATTAGCATCGACATTATTTCGAGATGTTTTTAAAAAAAATTTGCAATTACAACAAAAAGCAAAACAATTAGATGCACAAGTACAAAAAAAACATTTAAATCATTTAAGTTTAAATAAAGTTCAAATTTTTTGGCGTTCAACAGTATCATCAAAATATTCATCTTATGTTTATTCAATATCGGAAGAATATTTTAAAGATGCATTAAAAACACCATTTACAACACGATTAGATGAATTAGGTGATATAGCACGTTTAAATTATGCAATAACACAAATAATTATTGGTGGTGAGGATAATTTAGACGAAGGTCCAGAAACAATTCTAGAAATAAAACGTAAACAAATTATTACAGAAAATAATCAATTTTTTAAAGTATCACAATTAACAATGCAAGCAATTGATGATTTAGTTATGGCATTTGGTCTTAAACCAAAATCATTAATTGACAATGATTTATTAGCATTAGAAAATAAAGTTTTATTTGAAAATATAAATATTATTATGATCGGAAATGTTGCAATCAATTGTGAATATATTAAAAGTGTATCAAATGCATCACAACAATTAGAAGCATTTTGTGAATTATCTAATATGCAAATTATTTTAACACAAAAAGAATTTACTGAAAAAATTAAAGATTTATTTATTAATGAATCATTAACGGATAAGATTCAACGTATAATGATTAATGATGGAATAAATAATAATAATATTAATGATTGGTTCAATGAACATTTCTGTAAGCAACAATGGATTTTATCTGAAATACATTTGCCAATCTTATCATATATTTTCAAGGTAGAAATTCATATTTGTTCGATTGAAATAAATTCAATTTATGGACGAGTATTTGTCGAACACAGTCATAATACATTTGATTCATCGAGTATCTTTGTTGTGTTAGATGATAAAAAGAATATCATTTGCTTATTTAGAACATGTGAATTAAAATTAAATTATTTACTTGATCAATTACGTTTAGTTAAAGATAATCAATCAAAAATTCGTTTATATCATCAAATAGCTTTATATTATCGTTTAAACGCTGAATATTATGAAACTATACATCGATTAAAAGCTTTACCAATGTGAAATAGTGCCAAGGATAATTATTTAATTATTACTCAATTAAATAAAAATGATTTAAAAGCATCACTTGGTTATGGACGTTCTCTTATTATGCTTAGTAAATGGAGAAAAGCAACAGAATTTTTACGTGAAATACTTAAATTACATGAAGATTCTAATGAAGCATGGTATTTATTAGGTTTAGCATATCGGAAATCACGATTATATGATCAAGCAAAATATGCAATTCAAAAGGCACTTAGTAAATCACCGGATTATAAAGATGCTGCTAATGAATTACGAATAATTCAAACTTTACAATCCGAGAAAATTAATGATCGTTTTAATGTTTATAATCGTATGACAACGAGTGATGCACGCCATAATGAAAATTCTCCAAATTTTAATATACTATGTATTGATGGAGGTGGCATTCGAGGATTAATGCCAGCAGTATGGTTAGCTGAAATTGAACGTCGTACAAATCGTTCATCAGCATCGATGTTTCATATGATGACTGGGACATCAACAGGTGCTATAATTGCAGCTGGTTTATCTACTCCAGATTGTGATGATGTTTCTAAACCTCGTTATCGAGCTGCTGATATTGTCAAACTCTATGTTGCTGATTCAGGTGAAGTTTTTAAAAAACCATTAGGAGCATTTTATAATATACGACGTTACCTATCACAAGAAGCGAAATATATTGATGATAGTCGTCAGAAATTATTTGGAAAATATTTTGATCATACACTTTTATCACAAGTATTATCTGAATTAGTTATACCAACTGTAAAAAATGATAAACAACTCACACATTTATTTAATCGTTATGATTGTCGTAATAATCATGCAAAAGATTATCAATTACAAGATATTCTTATGTGTACAACAACAGCACCAACTTATTTTCAACCTTATAAAATGGATGATTGTCAATATATTGATGGTGGTGTTCAAATGAATAATCCAGTTATGGCTGCTTATGATGAAGCGATACGATATGGACAATCAAAAGATAATCTATTTATCTTATCACTTGGTACGGGTGATTATGTGCCAAATCCATTACATCCAAATGCTAGTCGACATTTATTATTTTATGCAATGAATACTCAATCTGTCTTAAATATTATCTTTGATGGGCCACAATATAATATGGATGCTCATATGTTATCTGTTTTAGATAAAAAGAAATATTAACGTTGGCAATTATGGTCCGATGAACCAATTGAATTAGATGCATATAATGAATCATCTGTTGAAATATTATTTGATAGTGCACGAGCATATTTTGAAGAAATGGAAAGTTATGATAATGATAAACGTTTAGGACTTTTACTCGATCGATTAAAAGATGATGCACATTAATATCAATTCAAAACTGAATATTTTTGTAATAAATTTTGATAGGAATAAAAAATCATTAGTTAATTATTAAGAGTTCTTTTATTGTTCAAAAAATGTGTTCCATTTTAGAATTTTGTTTGATTCGATCTTTACTTAAAAAAAACGACTTTCTGTAGATTCTTAATTAATCCATTAATCATAAAAAATATAAGTTACTATTAGCTTTTAACTTTACAATGATATGAAATGGATAAATTATGTACCAAGCTGACTTTAACACTGATTGCCTTTTCAGAGGATTTCTCACAAAATAGCTTTAACATTGTTTCAATTTCATGTTAATAATAGATATATATGTAAATGAAAGTACTTGATTGTGTATATGGTGTAATTATAAATGGAAAAATATGTATGATATAATCATTTCTTCGTATTTCGTAATACCCAGATAAGACGCGTTCTACGTTTTTATTTCAATTTGTTCTTTATAAAATACAGAAGTTGTATAATGTATGTGAAAATACATTTCATCATTGTTACTATCTGATCTTCTTTCTGTAATAAGTATCGAAAAAACTAGCTAACGAAGATGATGTATATCAAGGATTTCAATTATGATATTATTTTACACAAAAAAGCATTCGTGTTTTTTTTTGTAAAATTTTGCTTAAATTAATTAACTGTGTTATATCCATAATTGGAATTTTAGTATCCTACATGACATCTATGAATTCAAATCGTTTTATTAACGAACAAGTTTGTCAACTTCGACATGTTAATCATAGTCCAGTATATAGTTATCAACATTTGCCAATATTAGCACTTGAAGAAATTATTGAAAAAATCTTGCGGGTGCGCGTGGGTTTAAGTAAATGAGTTACACCCACACCTTGGTTTTTAAAGGGGGCCATGCACCAAAAATTGGGAGGTCCACCCAGAATACTAGATGAATGGGTAGTTTCACCCAATAATTTCTGTCCAGATTCGCTTGAGTGTTTGTGTTGAGTCTGAAACCGATTCCAATGGATGCAGAATCGGATCCTCTCTCGAATGATGTTGAATTAAATGTCCTTCTCTCAAGAAAACATTAATTACGACACCGAGAAGCATCTGGGATCTAAGTTCCACATACAACTATCATCATTGTATAAATGATACCTCAGAGTACACAAATGAAAATTGTGCTCCTTGACTATGTACATATCTATCTTAATTATGTAAAGCATAATTAATTTATTATCGAGATATTATTCCTGAGAACATGAAATACAGTATCAATGACTAGAGATATAGAGAGCGAAATCCATAAATATGTGGTAGTCGGTTAAGAAATTTAGTTGAGTTTGGTGT